TTTATTTTCTACACGTTCGAGCGTGAAAATATGAATATTACCAGAGAATATAGAAAATTTAAAATAATGGTTTAATTTCACGGCCGTTTGATTGTTTACTGTCGCAGTCTGTGGCTGAGCACAACTGAGTAACCACGTCCTGTTGACCAAAACGCACATCGCGCACACACTTATATTGCAATGTTTGTTTAATAATATCAAAAACCGGCCGATATGAAATGTATTGGAACCCTCGTCACACAACAGCAGAGCACATGCATCTCTGAAGTCGTGACCCTGTCACATTTCAAATCACTAAAAGCTCTATCAATTAATTCGGTGTACAAAAGGGAGGCGCGGCGGTGGTTCAGTTTGTGTGTATAAGAGAGACAGATTGGAGGTGAACGTAAAGTATTAGTGCGAGGGCCTTTGTTGTGTTCCATTAGTCGTAAAACGCATATGTAATTTCATTCCGTATTTGCTTCCGATTCGCATCCTTTCATAATCATATATCTGTCATCTTTGGTTAACGTAGTTTTACAACCCTATACGTGAACTGTGCGCAACCCTCACGGCGACCAGAGCCAGTGGCGGCGGCGTGCGAGGGAGACAAACGAAATTGTTTAGGGAAAAATAATTGAAGTCCTAAAAACGATATACTGCTGTAAGCAAGTTCATATTAACAACGTTTTGCGGGCAGCGATGAGTTCGTTTTCGGTCAGAACACTACACAATGTCTCGGTGTAGTACATCGCGCGAGCATAAATATTACAGCGCACAAAACATCTCGAAAACTTGATGAAATTATTTTGAATTGCAATTAAAACCAACTTAAAAGTGAAGCCGTAAATTATTTTAATACTCCGACGGGGGAATGTTTAATCACTCGACCCGCAAGAAATTCAATTACAATAAGATTAAACGAGTTATTAAATTATTTACAATAAAAAGAGGCGCAGTCATTACTATGGAATCGAATTCGTTTCGACCGACGTGAAAAATATTTGACGCCGACCATTTTACGCGCGACATGCTCCCAGTTCTTCTTCATTACCTCCTCACATTTATAATCTATTTTTACATTTTAATACTTCGGTGTACGGCGGTGTTCGTAGCATTTCTACACCAACAGATGACCCGCTCCCTTATTTGTTTAAAGCAAATCGTTTCGCGTCATGATGTTTTTTCATTACGTTTTTACGCCCGTTGTTTATGTACACGGCTAATCCTCGTTATTGCATTTCAGTTGTTTCTCGTACGTTTTTTTTTTTTATTACTTTTCATTTTTCCCGTCGCCCCTCGCCCGGTATTCTTTTTATTGCCGTCCGTCTTAAAAACAGACGAAATATTATTATTATTTAAATAATATATCGATTTCATACATGTCTGTTGCATGCGGACGACGTTCAAAGGAATTTCGCGGCGGCAAGCCCTCGTACACTTTTTAACGGGACCGTTCATACGCTTCTCGCGCAGTTATATACGTGCACATAAATATACAATGTGTATGTACAACAACCCACACATAACTTAAAAACATATTATGTCATAACAATAGAGTGCAACAACGGTGGGAGGAGGAGGAGGAGGAGGAGGAGGAGAAGAAGAAGAAGAAAAGTTTCTCGGCTGTTGCGCGCAACCGTTTGTATTTTAATTAAAACTTAATCCTTCGAATCGTTTTAAAGCCTTTATGCTAACGAAAACAATAATTATTGCACCGTGTAATATTCGTACTCGCGACCCGTGTAAATTATTGCGCGAAAAACACTGTTGTTGTTCTCCACACTTGGGGCGTTGCAAAGAATTAGCGGTGGCATTTATTGTCTTTCTCTCTCTCGTTTTCCGTCTATTTACGTTTTGTTTCCACTCGCTCGGGCTCAACTCGGAGACTAGCACACTGCGCCAACAAGTAGGAGGCGGAGGTGGCTACACTCTACTCGTTGTACGTATGTAGTGGCGATGCCGACGGAAATTACCTCATAAATTCACCTTAAAATGACGTTAATGAAATTTTCGGTTTTCCTCGTAGGCTTTTAAGAAAACGCCGTAAAGACCCACCCGGAGCGGACAAACAACACATTATCGCGTTATTCTTCGCCGAGACCGGCGCAAAAAAATCACAAGAGGCGTTCCGATTACATTGCTCACTGTAATTTCCAGTTAAATATGTTATATGTTCAGTCTGCGGTTGACTGGACAGACTGACTGGAAGAGACCGGAGGGGACCGAAAACGCCGGCAGTGGACAGAACGAGGCCGCACGGCGACACAATACGCGACACGTATAGGGTACGTGATCGTTTGCCCGGACTATTATTACCGTCATTATTATTTCACTTTGTGTAAAGTCTATTATTTTGTTCGCGCTTCCACTAATAATAAATGATCTATGAAAAAAATAAACAAACCGGACGGCGTAAAGATGTGGCGACCACACGCACAATGGCACAGAAATTGAACTTCGGGCGATTGGTCGCAGGAAACGGGACAATAATTCGCCGGTCAATTTGTCTATTGAACCGGCGACACTTCTCTTTATTCTTTCTTTTTTTTTTAATACGTCTCCCAGAAAAAAAGCCAATTGTAAATAAATGTCGAGTAGTTAATAATAATGGGATCAACATTACAGTTTGCAGTGGAGGAAATCGATTATACGGAATGGCCGCGACCGTAGAGGTTAAACAATGTCGACGCGAACCATGAAATACAACGAATTCTCTAAGAAACGCGATATTATATTAATATTTTGTAACAAAAAAATATTTCATGTAAAATCTATACACACGCATCGTGTGTTTAATAACTTTCAGATACAATAACAGCGCTACTGTTGTCGAGGAAAAAAATCGTTAGCATTCGGTGAGAACGGACGCAATTAAAATACCGCAGACAACAAGTAAATGTCATTTGTAGTTTAATAACAGTGTTCATAATTAATAAAATCGGTCGATAACGATTTCCTCTTAGGTAATCCGATTCGCCATAACGACCTACGCAAATCTCAACGATTTCAGAATAATTAATTATTATGTCCGGTGTCGATAAGACGTTCGGTATAGTTATCTATAGTTTAAAATTACTCCGGCAGGATACGCGATGCGTTTTATTAATAAATAAATATATATATATATATATTTTAGGTGTACTATTGAATATTACACCCTCGGCACTATAGAGCCGCCTGTGCAACAACGGGTTTTTTTTACCCAAAAGCGCTAAATTTCTGAAGAAATCAAAATCGACGGCGCGCGAGACGACGTCGTCGCGGTTTAAGTGGTTCACGACGACCGACAGCAGCTGTTTCACAGAAAGAAAGAAAGTGTTATTTTGTGATCTCCTTCGATAACACATCCCCCCGGCATTCCAGATTACACGCTGCAGGGTCTACAAATGTGTTTTTTTAAACATTGGCCGAGGATTACACCACTCAAATAAAATAAATGTGTCGCTGCTTAACATCCATTATACGTGTCATACACACACGTCGGTTTGAGTGTTCCGATTGTCAAGAGCTTGTTTACAACAAGAAAACACTACCCCAGACCAATATACAGTTAAGGGTATGTAGGCACGGCGGGTCTTATCGCGAGTATCACAGTTACCGCACAAAACTACATGCAAACACAAATGAAATGACACTCACACCTATTCCATTAGTAGGTATGCGTGCTCGTTAAGGCGTATAAGTATCCGAGTATTATTTACGCATTGCCCAGAACAACAACAAGATGAAGAAGACATCTGGTTATTTTCTCATTGTCAAATTCCAAATTTCATGGTGTCCCGAGTCTATTGGCCGCGGATTCTCTACAAACGGACCGGTGTTTTTTGTGAACCTTTTTCGCGTACTCGACCCACACCCGCAATTTTTATTCTCGACACCGGTACGAGGTGCCCAACGCGTCGTTCGCACTCCGAGTGTGAATACACCACTCAGCGGTCATAGCCGTCGATACTGTCACCGATGGTTTGCGTCATGTAGACCGTGAATCGTAAGAGGATCTTACGTGCGGAATGACCAGAAATCGTTTACCGTCTGCTGGACTTTCAAACCTTTTATGAGTTTTAAACCGAATACAATGGCCGCGGGGGTTCGGAAAAAAACGTTGAGCTTAGACCGGTACATCTGTCGAAAACCCTATTGTCTCACCGGTATATTTTTGTTTTATTTTTTTCAAAAATACAACATTCCCACCGTACTGACAAATATTTGTGTGTTATATATAGTTCCGGTCAAATTGTCACCACATTAAACCGTTGACCGGTCGTTATCGATATTATTATTATTATTACACAGATTACGCATAAGCGTGGAATATTTGAAAAAATGCATGACAAAATACTTAGTGACATCCGGTGGATCGAGCGAAAAGCTAAACGGGCCGTCAAAAAAAAATCTACAACGTTAAATCCGATTAAACCGTTTTAAATGTTAATCTAAAAGAAATATCTAAAAAAAAAAAAATACAATATAAATAAAATATTCCGAAATTCGTCTGGCAAAATAAATAATTATACCAGTAATCCGACAGACGCACGGAAAAAATCGAAATTCTTTTAAACATTTCGAAAAAAAATGTAAACGCTGGAAAGAAAAGACGTAATTAATTAAACGAGGGAAAGAGTAGGAGGTGGATATTTTTCTTTTGCGTTTATAACCTTATTAAATAATGAAGGGGCTTAGATCGGAACGGGCGGAGGGCGGAAGAGTTAATTTAAACCCGACACGAGAAACAAATGCGGACGTTTAATATAACGAAAAAATGTGTAAATGTTGCAGTCTCTTATTCGGATTCAGATTTACTTTTCCGCTCGTCTTCTCTTTAAAACTCCACAAAGAGGGCGCGGAAAGACCCTTTTTTAATTACGAGTCTTTTTCAATAACCAATTCGTTCACTTGGCCCTACACGTTGGTCGCCGACCAGTCCATTATGCGTGAACGCTACCAAACGACGCACACAGTCAATACTACATCACTTACTTGTCCAAATTATAAAACGGTATCCAAAACACTGTGCCTACCTGTCTGTTGGCTTGTGCGACATCATGCACCTGCGAACAAGAAACCAAACATAGTTTAACTAGAGTGTAATATTTTGTTTAAAAACAATAAAACAAAAATTAAAACCAAATGGCAAACACGAAACTCTATATAGTTCAACAAGGCGTTAAATTAAGCGTTTTAAATATTCTGACTGTGCAGCGTTTCCAAAAATATTTTCACTGTGTATCATAGTTAAACTATATAGAATTTCTTCAAGCTAAACAATGAGACAAGGTGAAATTAGAAGAAGGGGCAACGCCGAGAACGGTAACGTGCTATTATTAAGAGCTAAAATCGGCACGAATGCGAATACCAATGTAACGTTCGGAGACAGGTCGGATCGCGAGGTCGTTAATCAAGTCCCCAAAAGTGACTAGGCGTATTTCGGGCAATAAAAATTATTTGGTAAAAAAAAAAAAAAA